TTTATACTAAATGGTGTTGAGCTTCTTTACTGTTGGAGCTGCATCCATCCAGGCAAGTGGGGAATATTTCATCACATTCCTGATTTAATTTGATTCATTATTGCCACAGGTACAGATACAGCGAAAAGTATCGTATTACATGCTAACCAGACAAATCATACCTTACATAAGTACATCAGGTTAGTAGAACAGAATGCAGAATATAGTGTTGCAGCTGTAGACAGCGATCAACTCTCTCACACGAGAGATCTGTTCATAAGTCTTATAACAGCAGGAAGAAGCTGTTCTTAAATCTGGTTTGTGTTTTCAAACTCTTGTATCTTCTGCCTGATGAAAAAGGGTCGAAGAGTATAACCAGAGTCGGTGGTGGGTGGTGGTCTTTGATTATGTCAGCTGAGGCATCGCAAAGTGTAGATGGAGTCAATGGAGGGAAGGCTGGTTTTTTTTTTTTGGAGAGGGACTGGGCTGTGTTCATAGCTCTAACTTCTTGCTGTCTTGGGCAGAGCAGTTAACATACCAAGCATGCTGCATCTGGATAGGATGCTTTCAATGGTTCATCTATAAAAATTGATGAGAGTCATTGTGGACATGTTGAATTTCCTTAGCCTTCTGAGGAAGTAGAGGCGTTGGTGTGTTTTCTCGACTGTAGCATTGTGGATAGACCAGAATAGATTGTTGGTGATATTTACTCCCAGGAACGTGAAGATCTCGACCACCTCCACTTCAGCACCATTGATTACAGACAAGGGCATGTCCTCTACTCTGCTTCCTGAAGTCGACGACCAGCTGCTTCGTTTTGCTGACATTAGGGGAGAAATTGTTATGTTACGTCATGCCACTAAGCTGACTTGTGCCGTGTAGATGGTGGACAGGCTCTGGAGAATCGGGAGGTGAGTTACACACTGCAGGATTCCTAACCTCTGACCTGCTCCTGTAGCTACAGTATATATGGCTAGTCCAGTGGAGTTTCTGGTCAGTGGTAGCCCCCGGGATATTGATAGTGGGGGTCTCTGTGATGGTTAAAGCATTGAATGTAAAGGGGTGATGTTTAGATTCTCTCCTGTTGCACATGGTTATTTCCTGACACTTGTGTGGCACAGATGTTGATTGCTACTGATTAGCTGAAACCTGGATATTGTCTAGGTTTTACTGCATGGGCTGTTTCAACATCTAAGGAGTTCTGTTGATGCTGAACATTGTGTAATCATTGAACATACCCACTTCCGACTTTATGACAGAGGGAAGGTCATTGAAGAAGCAGCTGAGGTAGTTGGGCTCAGTACATGGTACTGGCACCTGGGTGCTCTCATGGTACAGTGGTAATGACCCTTCCTCTGAGCCAAGAGACCTAAATTCAAGACCAGCCTGCTTTCAAGTAATAACATCTCCTTAACAATAAAGGGGGCCAATAAAGCAAAACGTACTTTGCTGGCATATTAAAGGAGCTTGAGCTCTGAGGGCAAAGAAAACGTGGCCTAGGGCAAAGAATGGTGTTCCCACTGCTAACAGTGGATTTGTACATCAGCGTTAATGCTGTGTGTTGTTTCCAAAAGTTACATTTTTCTGCGTCACTACTTCTAGATCATTGCGATTCTCTTAGTTTACTTATCTTTTAGACCACTTTGCACAATACCTAAGAAATTCAGTGAAGTACAGTGCATCTTTGTTATAAAACCAATCGTTCAAAAGCATTAAAAATGGTTGCAGCTTGTGAATGGCAAAATATGAAGGCTTTCTGGTGCTAAATGCCCAAAATAGCCAACTTATTTAATGGTTTGTGTTGCTTTTGTAATTGACTTCAGTGGATCATTTAAATGATTGGTGCCATTTTAACTAATATAGGCAGATGCCTTGAAATCCACGGATGGTACAAGTTGTGGGAATTGAACCATCAACAATGTGTCTTGTTTCCAGAGGGAGTATTGCCACTTTATCTCTCTCATACCACTGCCACAGGAGTTGGGACTCCACTGTGACAAGGCTGCTGTAATATAAATGCGGTTTGAATTTTAAGTATTTTGTGTACTATGTTTCTGGTGGATTGTGTCCGATGTATAACTTTAAAATGCTGCTTCCTCGTCTCCGCCTCCCTACATCTGACTGTCTGTCATGCCCGCTTGCTGTTTTTTTTTCTCGTGCTCTTGTTGTCTCCCACTCTCCATTTTTCTCTCTCGCACTCTCTCTGTCTGGCTTGCTGTCATGCTATTGCTCTCTGTCCCATGTGCTCTCCCTCTCACTTTCCCTCTCTACCTCCTGTCTCCTCTCTCTCACACTCACACTCGCTCTCATGCTGTTGCCCTCTCTCTGTCCGGTCTCCCCCTCCAGCTGTTTGCTTCGTCTCTCTCCCCGCTCACTGTATGTCTGTATGTTGCCACTGTCACCACCGCTCCCCCGCCCCATCCAGTAAATGCTTCCCTGTATTGTAGCTTTCCCACTGTGTCACATGGGAGTGTTTTCTAGCTTTATTTATAGTGTAAGCCAAAGTGATTAACATTAACATAAACCATCACATACCCTGGTGCCCAGTTTCTCAAATATCTTACTGAAATATATTCATCCTCTGACATGGTGGGGCCATGCCAGTCAAATTCACACTTCTCTCCTGTGACCACTGCATGAAGCAGATGATGTGGTTTAGCTGAAGCAGCTTATCAATTATATTTTGGTTTGTTCCCTGAAGCAAATAACCCTTATTAATAAGTCAGGATGTGGGTTGATACAAGCAGATTTGCAACCCTTTGCCTCAGGAAGCGTCTGTGTTAATAAGCCGAGCTGTGCATTATCTTGGGAATATGTCTGACCAAATTTTTTCACTTTGTTCAGAATTATTTTGGCAAACGTCACTGCAGAATATCCATCAAAAATCTGCACAGTCAGAATGGGTCTGTGCATCATTGCTTTGAAACTGAATATAAATGTGGGTGGATCTACAATGTTTCACAAAATAAACAAGGCCTCTTGCCCTTCCTCATTTCGTTTTCGTGAACTAGGTTTATTTGGAGGCATTGCTGACCTTCCAGAAATTGCAACATTATACAATATGACTTTGGAAACTTGCAAACAGGGCATTTAGGTGTGAATTTAACAGAGAAAACAGAGAAATATTCTGTACAATTTTAATAAATAAAGTCTTTCCTTTATTTCATGAAAAGTTAACTTTTGTGTGTTTTATTAGTTAATTAAATAGTCTTTAGCTGCTAGATGAATATATTCGTTTCATTTGATTATACATTAAGTTTTGATATCATTCATTTACTTTATGTCCCAGCTTTGGCTGATGGTATATTTCTGTCAGATATAGAAACAGAAAAAATAGGAGCAGGATTAGGCCAATCAATCCCTTGAGCCTGCTGTACCATTTAGTGTGATCATGGCTTATCATCCAACACAGTACCCTATTCCTGCTTTCTCCCCATTTTCTTTGATTCCTCTTACCCTAAAAACTATAGCTCGTTGTTAAAAACATTCAATATTTTGGCCTCAACTAATTACTATGGCAGAAAATTCCAGACTTTGTCTGGGTGAAGAAATTTCTCCTCACCTTGGTCCTAAATTGCCTACTCCATATGCTTAGACTGTGACTCCTGGTTCCAAGTTCCTGGTCATCAGGAGCATCCTTCCTCCAATTTTCCTGTCTGCTCCTATCAGGACTTGTTAGGTTTTTGAGATTCCCGCCTCTCATTCTTCAATACTTCCGTGAATGTAATCCGAGCTGATCTGGTCTTTCTTCATATGTCAAGAGCTGCCACCTCTGGAATCAGTCTGGTAAAGCTTTGGTGCACTCCCTTCATAGCCTGAACATCCTTCCTCAGATAAAAAGACCAAAACTGTACATAGTATTCCAGATGTGGTATTCAAGGCTCTGTACAATGGCAGCAAGCTATCCCTGCGCCTGGACACAAATCATTTTTCTGCAAAGGCCAATATACCATTTGCTTGTTTTCACTGCTTGCTGTACCTGCATGCTTACTGTCAGAGATTGGTGTACAAGGACACCCAGATCTCATTGCACCTCCTCTCGATTTGTTGGCATTCAGATAATTTGCTTTCTTGTTTTTGCTAGCAAAGTAGATAACCTCACATTTTTCCACTTTATACTTTGTTTGCCAGGTATTTGTCCATTCACTCAACTTGTCCAAATCGCACTGAAGTATCTCTGTATCCTCCTCACAGTTCATCTCCCATCCAGCTTTCTGCCGTCATCTGCAAATTTGGAGATATTACATTTAGTTCTATGATCTAAATCATTAATAGTTATCTGGAAAAGTTAGGGTACAAGCATCGAACCCTGCGTTAGCCAGTAGTCACTGGCTGCCACTTTTTTTTGGGGGGAGGGCTCCTTTATATTCCGATTCTTTGTTTCTTGTCTGCTAACCAGTTCTCTCTCTACATCATTACACTACCCACTAGTCCCACGTGCCTCAATTCTACAATCTAATATCATCTGTGGGCCTTATCAAAAGCCTTCTGGAAGTCCAAGTAAACCTCATCTACTGGATCTCCTCTATCAAGTCTACTAGTTATATCCCCTCAAAATTCTCATAGATATGTTCAGTATGATTTCCCTTTTGAAAATCCGTGCTGACTCTGTCAGATCCCATCACGGTTTCCAAGAGCTCTGCAATTAAATCTTAAATAATGAACACTAGCATTTTCCCTACTGCTGATGTCAGACTAACCTGTGTATAATTCCCTGTTTTCTCTCTATCTTCTTTTATTAATAGTGTGGATAAATTAGTTATACTCCAATCCATAGGGCAATAGAATCTGGAAAGATAATCACCAGTGCATCTGCCATTTCTAGGGCCATGTCATTAACGATTCTGGGTGATTAGATTATCTGGGAATTTATTGGCCTTTAATCCCATCAATTTCCAAACACCATTTTGCATGCTTTCTGCAAGCTTACTCTCATAATCTATTTTCCCCTCTTTAATCAATCCCTTCATCATCCTCCCTTGCTGAAACCATTTTGTAATCCTTTTTTTCCCTTTTTCTAGTCTTCATGCTTGCTCACGTGTGGTATCTGAAATTGGACACAGTTCCAGCTGTGGCTGAACTAGTGCATAAAAGTTCGTAACTTCCTTGCCTTTGTACTGCATGCAAACAATATCAATTAGGAGCAGGAGTAGGCCATATGACCCCTCTAACTTACTCAGCCATTCAGTAAGATCGCACCGAATCTGATTGTGGCCTCAACTCTGCATTCCTACATCTATCTCTGCCTGAATCATTCGGAATGCCCCCATTTTCACTGCTCTGAGGACGAGAGGTTCAAAGACTCACGATATTCTGAGAGAGAAAAAAATCCTCTCCATCTCCACCTTAAATGGGAGATCCCTTATTTTTAAACTCTGTTTCCAGCTGTCATCTCTCCACATGCAGAAACATCCTTTTACCATCCAACCTGTTAAATCTACTTGGGATTTTCTGTTTCGGTAAGATCATCTCTCATTCTTCTAAACTCCAGTGGCTTCAGGCCCAGTCAGTCCACTCTTTCCTCATAAAGCAGACTGCTAGCTTCTTCTGACCAGCCTGCCACTACTGCTGTAGTATGAGAAATGTTTGTCCTTTGGACCCTTGAAGAGGATTCGAATAATTTTACTCCAGGGCAAGACCAGGGTGTGATGATGCAAGGAATTTGAGCTGATGTGACTAGGATGGCAGGAAACTGCTATAAGACCTTCCTTGCATTAGATGTGTTTTGAGGCATTTCACCATTCCTTGAACAATTGTAGAAAAACAGCATAAGAATACACTATCAGCCAGGGTGTTGCAGCTCAATCCAACCAATTTTCAGTGCCATGAGTTTTGGGAAAAATAACTTGAGGTGAAGCACAAAAAAACACTTGCCGTACTTTTAGAATCTAGTCTTTTTTACATATTGTGTATGCAAAACTACAATGTTATATGATATTACTGTCACCACTTTATTTTGAGGCATATTACATTCAACCCCTTGTTCAAAGGGAAACTGACAAACGTTTTTGAGTTTGGCCTTTCCTCCCCGCACTCCCTTGCTATGTGTAGAATTGCAGATATCAAACCCAGTCTCCACTGTGATGCGGTAGTATAATTGAAGTAGTACTGACCTTCAGTTTAGGTTCTACCAGGGCCATTCAACTCCCAACGTCATTATGGACAAACAAGCAGAATTCCAGAGGTCAAGTGAGAGTACCTTGACGTAAGCAGCATTTGACCAAGTACGGTATTTAGGAGCCAGAGCAAACTGGAATTGAGGGGCAAATTCTCCACTAGTTGCAGTCATGCTCAGCTCAGTGGGAGATGGATGTGTTACTGAAAGTGAATCATCTGATCTCCAAGATATCTCTCCTAGCATGCCTCGAAGACTTAGGCTCAAACATGTTCAGCTGTTTTGTTAATGACCTCCCCTCAATCATAAGGTTAGAAGTAGAAATGTTCCCTAATGATTGCACCAATATTCTGCACCATTTATTGTTCAAAATGATCAGAGGTATAGATAGAGTAGACAGCCAGAGACTTTTTCCTAGGGTGGAGGTAGCTTTTACGAGGGGACATAGTTTTAAAGTGAAAGGAGGTAGCTATCGGGGAGACGTCAGAGGTAGGTTCTTTACTCAGAGTGGTAGGGGCGTGGAATGCATTGCCAGAGAGGGTAGTGGAGTCAGCCTCATTAGGGGCATTTAAGCGGCTGTTAGATACACATATGGATGATAGTATAAGGTAGCGGTGGAGGTTAGATAGACCTTAGGTTTCGGGTAAAAGTTCGGCACAACATTGTGGGCCGAAGGGCCTGTGCTGTACTGTTCCACGTTCCACGTTCCACGTTCCACGTTCCACGTTCCACGTTCC